AAATTTAAATAAATATTTAGAACTAAACAAAAATTTAAAATTTAAAATGTTTATAAAAATATTAATGTAAACACTTACACTGCCTGTTTCAGTTTTTTCTACTTCAATCAATTTAGCTTGCTGATCAATGATAGGTAAAGGTATGGTTTTTTCAGAATCAATAGATCTTTGCCTAAAATTAAATATTAAATGATAAATCCGATTAAATCAGTCAATACTAGGTGAATTACACTTAAATAATTTTTGAAAACTATTTTATGCAAAAAAGAAAAACTTAATTTACAGTCACAGTTGAGAAACCAAATGTATACACAATATAGAAGACAATATTTTCTGTGTTATTTATTTGATATTGTTAATATTAAAAGTTAAAGAACACAAAAATAACATATTTTATACACAAAACATGTTTTTGTATATGCATATCGTATTACAAAAATAAAATTGTTACTGTACAACAAATGTTGTCTTCTTCAACATGTATATTTTTGTTTCTGAAGGGGTACAGTGTCGGTTTATTAAATTTTCAGTGATTTTATAACATTTGAAAATTATATTTGCCATCTTATTTATACACTTTTCCACTAATCTAATATAAATACCTATTTAAAGGAGGGAGTTGTATGGTGTATTATATCCACAAAAGTGACTTCACAGAAAAAATTGTAGAATCACTTATAATTTCAGAAGTTAAAACATATTTGTTAACTATTGGTACTATAGATGGGAGCACAAAATATGATCAATGGCGCTGTGASCCGTTAATTGTACCCGCAGTTGTAGCCATTGGTACTCATCATTATACTGTCATACTGCCTTTATGTATCGTATTCATGAACACAAACCAAAATAGAAGAATGGATAGGCGTTACAGTGTGTTATAAGTTACTACAAATATTTTAATWAAGTGCTTGACACCGCCATTGCTACATACTCAACATTCAACAGAGGTGATAGCCACCATCGCCTGAGTTGATGCATGCAAAAAACACCTACGCATAACATAATGTGAATAAGACGAGCTGATGCAGCCACAATCTACCACCTCTAAACATTGGCCAGAGTACATAYACTATATATAATTATACTACTCGCTRGATGGAGGAATGCACTTGCAAACTGGGTCTGTGTGCTTTTATCACTGATAAACAGGTAAAAGAGTGTTACTCATCATTAGTGATTTAGGTAATCATATTTGTTCACTGACTAATTATCCATACCAATCAAAGAATATTTTAATATATTATAAATGTGGAACTGTGTGAAAGTAATAGAATATTTAATATTTGGTTGATCTCGTATAAAAATGCATATCAAAACAACAACTATGGTCTTTAAAAGATCATACCATATTACCTTTGCATTGAAGAATTTGAATTAGATTCACTTCTCTGGCGAACATATTTTTCTTTTAAATCTGCAGGTGCGTCTTCTAATAACTTATCAATTTCTGCTAAAACACCAATCATTCTTAATAAAGACTTTACAATAAATTGTTACAATTATAGCTACATATTATTTAATATTACCTATTTCATCAACTTTATCATCATTTTGTTCTTGCATGTGCAATATTAAGAAATCAGCAAAATCTCCTTTTTTATCTAGCAATTCTTTATAAGTGCCGGACTCTGATACTTGACCATTTTTCATTACCACAATTAAATCGACTTCTCTGAGATAAGTAACACTATGAGTTACCAGGATTCGTGTCTTTAAAATTAAAAACAATTTTTAAATATGATACAAAATTCGAGATAAAGCTAGTTTATTATATGGCATAATATAATGTTACTTTTTTTCGTAACAATCCTGTAGGTCCAATAACATGTTCAAAAATATGTTTACCAACATGTGAATCAACAGCACTTAATGGATCATCCAAAAAATATATATCACTCTCTTTATAAACTGCTCTTGCCAAACTTACTCTTTGTTTTTGGCCCCCACTTAAATTTATTCCCTATAAAATTMATAACTTAATATAGGCACCTTTATAAAATATAATTTTTTTAATGTACCTAAGAATAAGTAATTATAATACCTTTTCACCAATTTCTGTATCATCGCCAGCTGGAAGCATTTGAAAGTCAGCTCTCAATGCACACGCATCAATGACTTTATTATAAACTCTATCACTTAATGTCTGACCAAATAATATATTATCCTTAAGAGAAGTATTCTGTATCCAAGCTTGCTGTGGTACATATGCTATAGATCCCTTAAAATTAATATGTTATTAATATACTAATAACATTAGTTTAAATAATTAATTATTTTATACTTACTTTAGTGTTAACTCTGCCAGAAACCTTATCCATTTCACCGAGAAAAGCTGACACTAAAGAACTCTTTCCAGAACCAACTGTACCCACAACAGCAACTAATTGTCCAGATGAAACTCGTAAATTTATGTTTGATAATGTTGGTGCATCTGTTAGTTCACCCCAAGTGAATGTACCATTTTCAATTACAAGAGGGTCTTCTAAAAACCAAAATTATGACAAAATWAAAATCTTTACATAAAATAAATACAAAATGTTACATACTTTCATCAGACTCATGAGTAACTGAATCTGGATCCAATTCTTCTGAGTTCATAAACTTATTTATTCTCTTTACAGATACACTTGACTAWAATATTTTAAAAAGGCATTAAAGAAATCAACCGTTATTTAGACACTTATCACATACTAAATAGAAAACTTACTTGAACTACATTTGACACRAACATAGGTAACATAGATAACGGAAAACGTAAAATGTTGAATAAAGATAAAGAAACAAAAGCTGTTTGTGCATCCAATACATGGCTATCGTCAGATAATACATAAACTGCAAAAGTTACTAATGATACCTAAATATAAAAAAATACAATTWAATTTTATAAAGTACAATTAAATAACAAAATATCATAATATAAAATCTAGTACAAAACGCTTTTCTTTTTCTTTTTTAAATTTAAATTTAAAGGGCGTATAAAACATTTTCATACCAGAAATGGTGCACAAGCCCAAATAAATGAGGTAGCTGCATTTAAATAAGCTGCAGTACGAAGTACTTTAATTTCTTTTCCTCGTATATCCAACACTTTTTGTTCAAAACTTGGTTCCCATGCATACAGCTTTAAGACCTGACAAATAAATATGTAAAAATAAATTATGTATATAATTGTGTAAAAATTAAATTACTTTTATTCCTGACAAAATTTCATTCATAAGTTTAACTCTTTGATCTTTATTTTTCATTTGTTTGATCTGAAGATTTCTTGCTTTAGCAGCCACAACACCATTTATTGGTATTAAAACTATCATGACAAATAGACCAGCAAGCACACTGGGCCCAAGTGATTGCCACAAAAAATAAATTGCAAGAGCAATTTGAAATGGAGCAGACCAAATCATGTTCAGATAAGTGGTCAGATCAACAAATCTATGAGCATCAACTGCCATCAAATTGACTATTTCACCAACAGTAAAAGTTTTTCTAGCTGTATTTGAAATTCTCAAAGCCTTGAAATAAATGTAATTAATTAAATATTTATCTTATAAGCTAAATGAACATTTTTACCTTTCGATATATAGCAGAAGTAAGTGCAGTTCGTACACGCATACCAACAAGATACATACGATGGAAATACTGAGACAATATCAATGTTTGTAATGTTGCTGTTAACATCATAAGGAAAACATAAAAATATCCTCTCCATAGCGGTTCATTTGAATTTCCTACAAATGCTATCAAATACCTGTAAAATATAAATAAGTACTTGTAAATTAATACATAAATCGTTTTRGTGATAACTTACTTAAGAACTTGAGGACTGACAAAAACTAAGCAATCTTCAATTACTTTTAGAAATGTTCCAAATATAAATGTGCGACCAAATGATTTACATAAAGCGGGAAGAATGGATGCTTCATTTTGACTTTTAGTACCACGAGTAATTCTTGTATATTCTATAGGTGATACTTCAATACTTCCATCTGATTTATGTTTAATATAAGATGCTTTTGCATTATCTAGTAACCTGTAAAGTACAATTTCTTTTATATATTAAAGAAGCATTATAATAATAATAACACAATAGTATGACTAAAATTATTATTATCACTTAATATACTTTAAATACAATGTTTTTATTAATAACATTTTTATAGAAAGTAAAATTTAGGATTATTATTTTTATCTATCAAATACATAGACCATGTATAATAGTGTATCAAAATAATTACAAATTTAATAATTAATAACTTTGAAAAGTAAAAGTTTGCGATTAATATATCAAGCATGATTAAAATAATATTAAATTACTTTATATATTGTTGAGCATTTAAAAACATTGTTTACTCACTTTGCTTTAATTAATGAACGTTCCCAATGTTTATCAAAAATAGGAACTACTTCTCGTGAACTATCATCATAGTTCATATTCCACAAATCTTTAGTTTCTAGAGGACGATTATAACCAGTCCATGCTAATACGTCAAACCACGTGAATAATATCCGCGAAGGATATGATGCTTTCATCTCAGGACATGGTTTCTAAAAATTGTTCAATAGTATGAAAATAAGAACTTACACGTTTATATAATCATTTTGGAAAATTTACCTCAACAGGGGGATAATCTGATAGTCGTGGATCAGTATCCGCAAAAAAGTTTAAAATAAACTGTATTAAAACAAGAGGGTAATATACCATGTAACTAATCAATTGGTATTTTTGTGATGGTACCTAAATGTAAATAAAAATATGTTTTAATAAATATTATTAAATATTGTATTTCTAATATTAGTAAACAAATTTAATTTAAATTTATAGTAAATTATACYATAAATTATCTTACATCAGAAAATGCTAGTCGGATCTCTGTTCGATATTGAATCATTCCGCAAAATGCCAARGATAACCAAAACAAAAATATTAACCCAGATGACCTCAATCCTCTTGCACGATTAGCACTGATTAAAACCATTACAAAACCCTGCAAATTAAATGTCAGTTAAATCACTAATATTTCAACATGTACAAATAAAAAATTAAATCGTAAGTAGAGTACAAATTAATTTAATTTATGTATAAGAGACTAAGTTATATTTTAATAATAATTTAATWATAAAAAAGCTATTTATAATAAACCAACAAAATATGTTTGATCAAATGTTTTAAATATATACAAATATTTTGAAAATGAATACTTACAAAAGTGATTAATTTTACAAGTGGTGTGTAAAAATCTACAGAATATATAGGCATCCCTGATGAATATTGAATTATTGCATACACTATATCGATTATTGAAAGAAGACATAATATAGCTGCACCACCCTATAAAATAACATAAAATAAATTATAAATTTCTAAAAAATGATGTACATAGGTATATAAATTCCTAAATAWATTGTACAACTAGAGACTAACAGAGTTTCAGACTTCAGTAATATAATCAGTTAATATAATATAACAAGTTGATCAGTAATAACTTATTGTAAATATAATCTGATAAAAAAAGGTGTGATTAATGTAATAATTAAGATTTACAACCACCAATGTGATCAATTTGTTTATTTATAATTAATTCAATAGTGGCCACAGAAATATAAAATGGGAGGTGGGACAAACTTAAAAATATTATATAATACCCAAGTAGGGACATTTAGTTATTTTTTTTTTTTAGAAATTATTTAATATTTACTAAAATAACAGAAGTACATGATCCATTGACCCCCCTCCCCTGTGATGACTTTATTAATTAAAAGTAGGTAATGTTTTTCAATATATTTACTTTAACTACTTCAAACCAATATTTATTTAATTAAACTAACATTTCTATATCTCATTGTTTTTAATATAATATTATATCATATATATATATATATGATACAAAAAAAAGAAAACTAGAATCTTAGGAACTTATTTGAGTTCAATAGGTGAATCGATCAACATCTCTAAATCTARTAAGTGGCGACTATTATAGTACACTAGAGCACACATTAATATTTGATTAACATTATTCAAAAATAAAATGATTTTATATTTTATTATCTATTGTTTATTATTATGTRAATAAATTCCAATTAATTATGTTTTCCTTAGTTAAACAGCAGTTTTTTTATAAATCTTGTTAAAAAATTCTTCACTATGCATAAAAGCGAGAAGATGGGATTCTCAGGGAAGGTTGTCGAGTGATCTCTATGAAATTCATTTGATTGTATACAATTTATATATTCTTTTTTTTTTCAATGTGGTTATATGATATMACAACTGAGGCAGGAAACACAATAGTTAATAGGATATCGCACCCACGTGTGTTGTTTCAGTTTCACACACAAACGACATAATGTTTTACACACTCATAACTCACTTAAAAATTAAAGTATCGAAAAACAGAGAACACAGATAATGTTCTTAACTAAAAGTTTTATAATAAGTCAATTCACTYTAATATTAATACCGACAGCACTCTATTGAAACTAAAGAATAAAAATTTGGTATATCATTATTTGTGTAAGACGGATACAACACATGCGGGTGCAAACTCCTCTTAATAGATAAACCTTTGAGCATGTGGGTATCCAGAACAAAGATAARAAACCAAAAATTGACATCTTGGAAATTTATAAATGTTAAGATCATAAAAATGAAGATGAATAGATTTATTATGGAGTGCATCATTTATAATATTTATAACTTATAAGTTATAACCCTACATTGGGATAATTGATTGTAAATCAAAAAATAAACCACCTATTAGTAAACATGATCCATACTAACTTATGAAATAAAATAAATAACTAAAAAGTATTTGTACTTTCAATAGTTTTTAAATTGTTGTACAACTACTACAACTTAAAGTTATCAGCAGACTWTYAAACTGTGCAGTTGTGCTTCCATGCATTACTGTGTTTCTATCCGTAATCTTACTAAAATGTATATAAATAACTAGTTCATTCTACATTTTCCTTTTCATTTTGATTATTATTTATTCATTAGGTCAAATAATAACATTTGCTTTTCATGTAATGATCAGTTTGCAGAACTCGACAGTCCATTAAAATATGACAGTTATTCTTCACTGGTTCATCATAAATGTTCAGAGTTATCTGCAACTGATCTCAAGTGCCTTTCATTAAAAAATAAATTACTCAAATTTTTCTGTGTTAGTTGTCACCAAGGATTAAAATAATTATCAGAACTAAAAATTCTAATTAAAAAATTAATTGTAAAAGTCGACAATATTAAAAGTAATTCTATTAGGTAATAATACAAATTTTTCCAACGAATTTATCATTAATGAAATAAACRAACGTAATAGACGTGCAAATAATCTTATATTTTATAATTGGTAGAAAGTGAATCAAACTGGTCTGATGATAAAATAACCTCGAACTCGCATCATATTATTTCGATAGTATTATCAGATATTAGTTGTGATATTTCAACTCTGTTAAAAGTGATTTGCCTAGGACATTATCAGCTTGGTAAAATGTATCTGATTAAAGCAATTTTATCATAATATGCAACTGATGTTTTTGACATCATAAGAGATAAAAAAAAATATATCACAATTAAATCCACCTTCCACAATAAATATTTCCACTGGCCGAACTCCAAATTAAAGAGAATCTATGAAAAAACTATGTGAGCAGCTAGCCTCACACACAAACAATGGCAAAACTAAATTAACAATCAAATTTCAAAGAGGAGTTCCCAAAATTACCAGTGCACCAAATACTCACTCACAAAATTCTCAAAATTATTAAATTTTCATGTATTCTATCAAACGTTAGAGGTCTTAGAACTAAACAACATTTTTTCCAAAACTCTGTCTCTAATTTAAATTGTGATTTATTGTTATAAACCGAGGCTTGGTTAATTAGTTCTATTAATGATACAAATACAAAATTAAGTCTTATTCATTTTAATGTATTAAGAGTAGATCAATGTTCTAATTTACATAATAGAGATGGTGGAATTTTACTGGCTATTAAAAATAATTTAGATTTCAAACTATTAGACACTATCACCATACAGAATATTGATCAGGTATTTGTTACGTTAAATTATAACAATATTAATCTCCTTMTTGCATGTGTTTATATTCCTCAAAATTCTCATCTTGATCTTTATAAATCTTGTTGAAAGTCTCGTTATTAATTTCTCTATTGACAATATATTAATTGTAGATGATACTTATATATTATATTATACTTATAACTTAAATGCATTTTCTTCCTCAGACTATTCTTTATTTACTAGCATCTCATCTCACAGTTTTGTGAACTCATATATAAACTACCTAAATTTAAGCCCAGTAAATAATGTCAAAAATAGTCATGATAGTATTTTGGTTTTAATTTTCTCAAGTAGGTATTAATATTGATTCCATATTTAGTAATTATTCACTTACATCCTTAGAATTTATCTATTCACTTGAAGTATCTAAAATTTTAGATGAGTCCAATAGTCCAGAATTATTTAATTATAACTCCTGTAACTTTATGGAAATTGTTGCATTTTTAGAAAATATTGATATTCTGTCTAATCTAATAAATTTAGATCTTGAAAATGCTATCCTTAATTTCTATGATATCTTAAATCATACTTGTGATTTATTTGTCCTAAAAACAAAATTTRACTACTCTTTGCAATGATCTAATTATAATTTAAAAAATTTAAACTTRCGCATAATAAGTATAAAATCTTAAATCTACACTCAGATTATTTACATTTTTTTAATTTACAAAAAAAATATAAGCAATTATATCAAGAAATTCACTCAAACTATATTTTAAAAATTGAAGATAATATTAATATCAAATCATTTTGGAAATATATTGAATCTTTGAGAAAAAACAAATCCAATATTCCTATCTCAGTCTTCCTAGATGATTTCTCTGCTAATAAATTTATAATTAAATAAATTAAATAAATTTAAATAATTAAACAATATAACAAATTTATTCTCTTAATATTTCTTTTCTATTTATTCTAAAAATAATGGACCTTACAATTTGAATCAAATATCCGATATTATTAGTCATGAATCATGATCTTAATTTAAATTCTATAAACCTAATATATATATATATATATAACCTAACCTACAATTTTGTTAAAAAATTGTTGATTTATCCTTGCTAAATCTCTAAATCACATATTTAATTTATCTTTATCCACCGATATATTACCAAATATTTGGAAAAAAAATTTTATGACTACTATTTATAAATCAGTCTATAGAAATAATGTAAGAAATTATCGACCAATTGCAAAATTATCGATTCTTCTTAAGATGATAGAAGCTATTATGTCAAAAAAATTATCAAATTTGCTAACCAATTATATTAGCCCCACACAAAATGAATTCTTAGCTAAGTATTTAATTTTTACTAATTTAATAACTTATCATACTTACTTAATAACCACATTAAATGAAGGTTACCAAGTCGATTCTATTTACACTGATTTTGAAAAAGCATTTGATAAAGGAAATCATTTACTATTTCACCATAAATTAGAATTGTTCGGAATAGGAGGAAATTTCCTTAAATGGTTATTCTCTTTTCTTATTAATAGAAGAACTCAAGCCGTAAAAGTCCCCCTAAGGGTCTCACTTGGGACTATAATTATTTTTGATATTTATAAATGATCTGCCACTAACTCTCAAACCTTCTATCAATATACTTTTATTTGCTGATGATGTGAAAATATTTTGTAAAATCAGATCGGTTGATGATCAACATATTTTACAATCTAATTCAAGTAARCTTTATCTTTGGAGTGAAAATAATCTATTTCCTCTTAATTTAAATAAATGTCAAGCAATATCCTTCACCAGTAAAATTAATTATTTCGCTTTTCAATATAATATCAATGATTTTTCACTCTAAAATGTTAAACTCCATTAAAGATTTAGGGATATACTTTTAAAAAATCTTAACTTAAAAATAAATCACAAAATAATTATTACAATTATATAATATGCTTGGCTTCATTAATACATTATACTATCTGTACTAATCTGTTATACACTTTTTTCCTACCAATATTTTTAGTTAAAGGACATTCTATCCATTAAATTTATACTTTAAAAACAGACTTTACATAATTTACTTACATGAATACAGGTATATTGTATATAATATATAAATAATTTTTTAAGGTAATTTTTCATGACTTATCAGTCATTCTATGTTCTAATTTCAATTAATCGTACAAATTGCATAGAATACATGTATAAAATGTTTGAATATCCTAGCCCAAAACTTCAAGTCAATAAATAGAATGCTTGGATATTCTAMAATTACAGTAATATATTTA